AAAGCAGTTACTCAGACATGAACTGAAAAGATTCTCACAAAACTGAAGCAAACCTTTTTCTTATTTCCCTATTTATCTTTTCCTGAATTTGTATTTGAAGATGTTTCATTTCTTGTTAATAAAAAAAAGAGCCCAATGTATACAAAAATAAAATATAGTGTCTCTTCCCAGAATCAGGGCAAAAAGCTGTATGTTTCCCAGAAGTAAGAACTGAATTCTGGATTAAGGACAATGGGCACTGCATTGAGGCAGAAAAGAGTGCTTATTAAAGAATAATATCTATGTTTACATGTGGAAAGACACACTAATAATATATTTTTTCTCTCAGAAACTGATTTTGATTATTTTATTACTGTAACCTAAAAGCACAATTTCTAGAGATTAACTTTTCTGTTTTCATTTTATCTGACAAAACGAGATTTAGGAGACAAAATGAGTCTGTTTAATGCCAGGGAACATAGCACTGAGACCGAAGCTTGTGGGGAAACTTGGACTTGGCACACCAGGCCCCTTCAGGAGGGACTAGGACTGACAACTCACTACTTTATATAGCCCTTAAACACTGCATCGGCCTGCTTTTACTTTTATTCCACACCCTGCAGGGGAAGGCAGAACTGAACTGAGTCATGAGGAAAGTTAAGGCCCCAAAGGACCATGACTTCCATATGTGTAGAACTGAGAGAGAAGTGTCATCTTATTTTAATTGAAATTTTACGTGTGTGTCCTGACACACAAAAATCACCTTGCATGGGTTCCACCCTGGTCAGAGTGATAGTAATAAAACATTACTCCAAAACAGATGTTTAACAATATATCCTGCATGCCCAGTTCTCCCTTCAAGCCATGCTTATCATCTTTCACACTTATTCTACATACTGCTTTGCTTAGTAGTTTATTTTCTGTTGCCATGAAAGGAACAGAGTTGGATAACAGTGAAATAAATTGTAAAATAGAGTAGGGAAGATAAGAACAATGCTTAGGACCAAGAAAGGTGCACATAATATCAGCATCATCAAAACCAGACTAAGTGTTACTACTGGATTTTATAAAATGATAAATGGTTATATTTAGTGATACAGGGCTCACTGGTGTTTAGAAGGTGGCCTTGAGAAAGTCTTACATATTGAGGCATGACTGTCAGGGGTTTATATGAAATACAAGGAAAGAATTTCACTGTAAAGAACAGAAAATGAAATAGAGTAGCAGCTGATGGAGGAAGTAGAGTCACAGAAAGATTTTTTTTAAAGATAAGGGAGATAGAAGTTTGCTCTTTGCTCACATAAATGATTCAATGGAAAAGGAAATATAGATGAAAGAAGAAGCATAAAAGGAGTGTTTTAGGTCAATTTCCTTGCACAAATGACAACAAAAGACCCAGGGCACAGGTAAGGAGTTTCGTTGGTTTGGGGGTCACCCAGGTGATTCATGCATGGTAGCAGGTAGGAGGGCAGCACTGCATTGGGCTGATGCTGGCAGATTGGCAGATAAAGTTGTTAAAGAAGGTAGGAATTGTCCTCTGATGGCTTAAATTTTCTCAATCAAATAGGAAGCAAATTTACCTACTAATTCCCACTAAGTGATGGTTGCAGTAGTTTTTTAGGCAGATTCCTTCTTCTAACTTAAGTGCTTTTATTTTGACTTTGCTAGGCCTATGTATCATGAATAATACTGAATTTTTCAAATTCTAATAGATAGATAATTATACAGTTAAAAAACTATTACAAATAACAGTTACTTCCTATTTTAAAATAGCAAGATTTGCTTCAGAAGTCAAGTGTTAAAAAGAAATAAAATATTGGCCTGCTAAGCATGTGTTTAATGAATAAAACTAATGTAAATTTTTTAGGTGATCTATAGAGCACAGATGGTGAGAAGTTTTTGGAATTGAAAATTTTAACATGAATGGTCAGAATAGCTTTTATCCATAAAATAGAAAATGTAGATGCTAGGTCTCCTTCTAGCTATATAAAATTATCAAGCAGATTATACATATTTAAGGTTAAGGATCTCATTGTGATTCTTTCACTTCATATTTGAAGTAATACAATGAATTAAAAGATCCATATGTTTTACATAGAACAAAGTTATCTCACTATCAAAGTCAGTTTCTTCTTAACGTAAGTCGGGGTGAATAAAAGACAAAATGAATCCAGGTATTCCATGCTAAAATACTATTATAGGGCAGCAGATACACTATTATGTCTACTGTTGATTAATCAAAAGTTAAATGGAAGTTATGTGCAGGGATTTCTGATGTTGTTTCCAAAGTCATTTATAAGTCTGTTTATGATTTGATTTTTTAAACTTATATTCTAGCAGTCACTTTCATTTCTATGATCTTTCTGAATTTAAGAATTAAGTTCTCAGACCAGGGCCCTGCCTACCTTCCTATCTCACCTTGCACCATGATCCCCTTGCCACGAGCCACTGATTATTTGCACCTGCTTAACCTCAAGGTGGTTTCTGCACATCTTTTCCCTTTTGGCCTAGAGTGCTCTCCCCACTGCCACATTTCAGGATTATCCTAACTCGATACTTAGATCTCAGTTTATAAATTCATCTCAACGAAGGCCTCCAGTCCCCAGATCTGGCATTTCCCCATCACATGTGTAGCATTTTCTTCTAATATTCTGAGAATCAGTTGTAGCTTTATTCTTTTATTCATTTTTATGTTTATGTTGCTTGTCTCTTGCACTAAAATGTGAGCTCCATCATATAAGGAAAACATAGCATCTTATGCTTCACTACAAACCCAACTCCTGAGGAGTATCTGAAATTCATAAAAACTCAGCCCACATTCACCATTGCATAAGTGAACTTGAAAGTTATCGTCTACAACTGGTGATTATTAGAACTAGATACTGGTTGTACATACAGATTTTATTTTAAAATAAAAATCATGATATAAATGTGTTTTATTTGAATACAATAACCAACCTTACAGCTATTGTCATGTTATTTATCATATATATAATTATATATATATATAGAGAGAGAGCAAGTGAGAGAGAGACAGAGATTTTAATAAGAAAAGTGGTAAACCATAAGCCCTGCTGTAATCTTAGTCTTCTCATTTCCCTCATCAAGGAAGGTAGGGAAGTGACTTCAAACACTGTCAGTGTTTTTGTTTGTTTGTTTGCTTATTTGTTTGTTTTTTAGTTTTTTCACAACAAGCTCTTGGAGAAAATGAAAACCTATTGGATTTGGAAATTCAAATTTCAAAATAACAGTTACTCTATTCCTGTAAAAAATAAATAAATAAAACTGTAAGACATAGATGTTTGATTCTAAGATATCTTGACTCAGCCACAGTGATCCTCCATTTACCTCTTTGCAAAATGACAAGAGGTAGACTGGGGGTGAAGCTCATTGTAAAGGACCTTCCAGGGTGCATTAGGGCCTGGACTTAATCTTCAACACCTCGCATGCATAAAAAGCGGGTAAAGCAGAGGCCTCTGTATTGAATAGCATGCTAGTAAACTGCAGCTGCCTGTTATTTTTGTTTTTTTTTTTAAATGACACTTTGCAAAGTACACACTGGGAGACTCTTAATTTCTGAAGTCCCTACATGCATTTATCTTCCTCAATTATTTCTTTATAATTATTTGCAAATGTTTTTAAAACCACCAAGTCTCTTTTAGGATTTTTTTGATACAACAATGTTTATTAAGCACATACTAGGTGACTGTGGGTGTTCTGATCACTGGGGTTACAGTCCAAGGGAGAACATAATTCCTCATTAAAAAGCATTATGCATTTGGGAGAACACAGAATTTAAAGTCAAGAAATATTTTCAAATATAATTCAAAATCATAAGTATTAAGGATGCAACCTGTATGTAGAAGCAGAGAATAACTAAGAGGAATGACTAGAAAAAGTCATCCGGATATACTTCTCTTTCTGTTTGAAATGGAATGTAATAGAAATGGGAGATGATGCATAGAAGCCTCTCAAGTAAACCCCCCAGAAAAGATCATTCCAATAGAGAGAACAGAAAAAGAAAGAAAGGTCCTAATCTGGAAAAGTCTCCAATTATTAAACATATATGTTAAAATTTAAAAAATCATGCCTAAAGCCTGGTGAGAAATGGGGTGCTCTACAGAATGTACTGGCCCGATGTCCCTCGGATGTAACAGGACCTACGAAGAACAGTGCTTATGCCTTGACCTGTTTTATAATCTTAAAAGATGCCTCTGACTGCTCTGTGCCCAGTGGTTGAAGTTAATGGGGTAGGTAAGAATCCACTGACTTTGTAGAAAGGATTTGTTCTTGGGCATGCAACTTAGTGACACCTAGGGTACCTGGTTTCTTCCACAGTTCCTTCATGGCATTTTTCACCTCTGTGTTCCTCAAGGTGTAGATCAAGGGATTCAGCACTGGCACAACAATGGTAAAGGACACAGCCATTGTCTTATCTATGGGGTAAGTGACCACAGGTCTCATGTAGAAGAAAATGCATGGCACAAAGAATAGCGCAAATCCTGTGAGGTGGGAGCCACAGGTGGAGAGGGCTTTGTGTCTGCCTTCAATGCTGCAAGAATTCAGGGAGCAAAAGATGACCACATAGGAGGTGATGAAGGTGAGGAAGATGGTCACACACATCACCCCGCTGTTGAGGATGACCAAGAGGCCCAGGGTGTGGGTGTCCATGCAGGCCAGTTTCAAAAGTGGGAATAAGTCATACATAAAGTGGTAAATGACACTGGGGCCACAGAAGGGTATCTGATACATGAAAAGAAGTTGTATGGTTGGGTGCATGGATCCCCTCACCTAAGACCCTCCCACCATCAGGCAGCACAGTAGAGGACTCATGGTGGTCATGTAGTGCTGGGGCCGCCAGATGGCCACGTAGCGGTGATAGGCCATCACGATGACCAAGATGATCACCACCCCACCAAAGAAATGCTCTGCAAAGAGCTGGGTCATGCAGCCTTTGAGGGAGATTGAGGTGCTGTCAGAGAGGGAGTCCGCAATCAGCTTGGGGTCAATGACAGAAGAGTAGGTGACATCCCTGAGGGACAAGGAAGTAAAGAAGAAATACGTAGGTGACCTCACACACCAACTGGCAGTCACAGTCACCACAATGAGTAGGTTTCCCAATACTGTGACAACATACAGGGCTAGAAACAAAGTAGAGAATATTTTCCTCAAACCCTGGATTCTTTATAATTCCCAAAAGGATGAATTCAGCCACATTGTTGCGATTCTCCATTTAACAGGATTTGATGGAAGCACATCACACAGCACTGGAAAGACTGCAAGAGAAATGACTTTTATGAGTAATCATGGGATATGCCAAGCATTGTTATCGCAAGCTCTATTAACCTACATTTATTACCAGCTAGTGGTACAGAAACCGGAAGCTAACAACAGAAGAAGCTGGACACCACGTCAATCCTCCTGGTGCCTACAGCAATACCTCCACCCACCAGGACAGCTCTTCCTCTGTTTCTGTGTCTGCTGCCTGTGACAGTAAATAACAGTGAAGTGCTTTATTATTGCAGTGTATGCATACTCCCAGAAATATGAAGGCAGTAACGCCCTTGGGTAAACTCTTGACTATCAATAAGTCCATGCATACATGGGCACCAGCTTGACACAGTTTTGGCTTAAATCTTATTTTTCCCCCGTCTCAATCTTCCCACTGCTTTTATTCTGATTTCCAAAATAAACCACCTCTATACAAGCCTTTCTTTAATTTAAGCCTTGGGAAAACTTCAACTAGGATACTGACCTTTGTTTTTCATTAGGTAAACCAGATAACTTGGGAAATATTGTATACATTTTATTTTATGTAGTTACTGATCACTAAGTATGTGCTACTTAAAGAGCTAAGAGACAGGTCATATCCCAAGGATTTTCCACTTATTGTGGATTATAGCCTTTTCATCTGCATGTCTACTTTCAAAAGTTGAATTATTAATATTATCATTACTATATATTGCTGATATTTCTCACATCCCTACTGTGTCTCATGTAGTGGAATATCTTATGAAATATTTTCTTCATTTTTTTAGATTATATACTGAGGAATCATAAAAGTGAAAAAAAAATGACACCAAGTTCCAACAACTAATAAATCCTGAAGCCAAATTCAAATTCAGCTCTTCCTGGTTCCAAAATTAATATGAATAATGATCTACAGTGTTTCTTTGTTGATAATTTCAGGTTTTCAGTATCAAGAAGATATTATCCCTAATGGTAAAATTTCATTTTCATAAGAACCCAGGAATATAGATTTTTGCTTCCTATTCTTGTTTCATTCTACCACAATATTCCGTAACAGTCCTACAATAAACAGCATATTCTAACCCTGAAAGGAGAAATTATTAATCACCATTAACTAAGTATGCAAGTATTCTAATCTTTTTTTGGATGTGCAGATTAAAGGAAAGTAAGCCTCACATCTCTTACTCTGTTCCATATCTGCAAGCTAGCTGACACCATCCCCACATATGAGCCACATTGGTGTAAATCATTTGGTGGATAATGTAAATATTGCATTATGAAAATATTGCACAAATTATTATCATTCCTTTGTCATAACTCGCTTCCTTGTTTCCTTTTTATCTTGTAAAGCTATGCTCCTAGATGAAGGAAAGGATTCTAAAGAATAATGAGTATATCAAGTTTAAAATCACCTGTATTTTGCACTCACTACCTGCCATCAAGGCACTACATCTGTTCCGCGCATTACAATGTCTATTTGTCATATCACATGAGATAGGTGCTATAACGAATCTCTCCTTGAGAATGAGGGAACTGAGCCTTAGGAACTTTAAGCACAAGATCATACCAGTTACACTTAGACTCTGAAGCAGTGACAGGTGCCTTCAGGTAGCTCAATAAAATTGTTACCATACCCAAATCCTGGAGGAAAAGAACTACTTCAGGAAGTAACAGATTTCTCTTTGCTAGTGACATAGCAAAAACTGGGCCACTTGCTTCAAATATTTTAGGGACCATTCTTTTATCCACCTAGCTAAATAAAGTGGACAACTATTTTTCTTCCAATAAGTTTATTGGTACATTTTAGGTATACAGTAGAGTTACATTCATCATTGGGATCCTGTACCTTTACATGATGTATCTTGGTTCTTATTTTTCCCCATCCCCCTGCCCTGCCTTCACCCCCTCCACCCTTCCCTATTTACAAAGACTTTGCTTCCATCTTTTTTCTTTTCTCATATTTTTCCCAAAATAGAAAGAAAAGGTCTAAAGGAGTAGACAACTACTTTTTATAAATCTCCAGCCCAAGAATTTCAAAAGTTCTTAAATAGCTCTAAAAACCTGGAGAGAGCACATCCTTGGAAATGGGGTAAATGGACTTCATTGCTCGTCCCTTTATCTCCTAGGATATGTTGTTATATTGTTCCTCAGGTCTCAAATCGACTGTTACACATCAGTGAATGATAGGGGCTCAAAGAAACATCTCCAGGGCTCACCCAGTCCCTTTTAAACATAGTCCTTGGTTCTTATCTGCATCATATACTTACACTTCCAACTACAAGTTTTCCTCCCACAGAAGTCAAGCCCATCTCTTACTGTCAGACACCCACTTTGGCCTTTTTTTGTATGGTCTAAAAGACCCTGTGTTTAGGGTTGGACAGACTCAATTCTCTGTCCCAGTGAGACCACTTACTAACTACTGGGTCTTCAATCCTGTAGAATCAAAACAGTTCAAGAGTAATCAAAGTCAATATGTGTAAGGGCACTGTTACTATCTCCACGATTTTCTTTTTTACTTCCTACAAAAGCTATGTGAGATTGTTACATTGTTATCCTGAGTTCTGAATGCAACTAATAAAGCTTGGAGGACTTGTGACACTTGATTACAACCTTTACCTGGGTGTGTGATAAAGCTCATAGCAGAGACTACCAACCACTATGCGCTTCAACTTCTCCAAGAATTTTATGTCTTACCTTGCAGGACTTTCATGATGATCAAGAAAATAACAGGCAAGAAAGTGTTTGGAGAATGGTATTCAAAGGGTCTTCATGATTATGATTATTTTCCATTTCTGTAAACTTCTCGTCTTCCTGTTGCCCCAGCCTATACCATTAATTAAGAAACCCATTACAGTCAACTCCACCTTCATCCCTTGCTTCTTCCCCACTGTTTCCTTCACCATTGCCATTGAGGAGATTTGTCCCATGCATCTTCATAGATTGCTTATTAGCAAGAGCTTAGTGATCTTCTTTGGTCACTTTAAAATTTTTCTTTTTGGGGCCAGGGATTTTGCCACCTGCTGAGCAAGTGCAAGGACCTGGGTTCGATCCCTGGTACCAAAAAAAAAATTTTTTTTCTTGTTGGTTTTACTTCCTTATAAGGTTGCTTAAAGATGGCTAATTTATGATCTTTTGCTGGGCTACGTACATAATAGCCAGTTAATCAAATTTAATTAAATCCATAAATGGAACTCACCCAAGGAAAACTGCATCAAATCCTGGTCATGCCAAGGCCAATCCCTGCCTCCAGAAGCCCCAGTGCCATTGTCAGAGCATGGCTATTGCTCTGCCATCCTAGCTCAAATATCTGATTTACTATCTTCCGTCTGTACTACTTCCATTCCTAGATATGCTTAGGGAAACTCAGGAATAGAACAACTCCTTGGGCTCTTATTTCAGTACATTATTAATTTTTGACAGCTTGCCAAAAGAAATTAAAGTAAATCCAACTAAAAATAAATCCAAAACTTGATAGCACAAGGCTTTTCCATCCCAAGCCCACAGTTATGCATCAAATGAAATAAATAGCTGAATTACTAGCACATTTAAATTATAAATGTTCATATGTTATGTGATTTAATTGTTTCAGCAACTTCAAAATAGTATCTCAAAATAATAAGAACGTGTTTAATACTCAAGTAAAATTTTGAGACCACCACCACGGCTCAGTTTTGTGGCTCCTGTGTGACCTCCAAGGCCCATTACCTGCTGACTCCAGTAAGCAACGAGCAACGATGATGCAAGTGAATTTTCTAGGATCACCTCAGAGGGGCCAAAGCTCTAGTTCCATCCAGGATGCATGCACTCGAACTTTCCTCTGTAGAAGAGTTAGGAATCATAGGAGAGCTCAAAAAAAAAAATCTTCCTAGAGAATAAACCATCCAATCACTCAAGAGAGAGGTATTTGATAATAATAAACTGTGTAATGGTTATGAAGAAAATTTTAAAAAGAAACAGCTGCTCTAAGCATCGAATGACTTAAATAGGAAACGACCCTTGTGGTTGGAAGGGGAACTTAAATTTTCTGAATAAGAAAAGTTGCCCGAAATGGTGTCCAGGAAAACTGCTTACAAAATTGTTGTGGCACTATGCCTACCACCTGGCTGTATTTTGAACTTAATTTATAAACAGTTCTAGCCCATAGTTTATAAGGAACACCATTAATAAGATGTGGTCCTTTGGGTAATGACTTGTGCTAAAAGAGGGCAGAGGACCACTTCTGAATGGCACAGAATTTCCAAATGTGCACACTTGTATCATCCTAACTGCAGCCCTTCATGGCCGTGTCTCTACTCACTGAGGAGCTAATCACTGTAATGGTAAATTCCCATCCACGCCTGCAGAAACCCCATTTTCCCAGGGGTGGAACTTTGCTGGACCAAGCCAAGCTGATAATCCACAAGCAAAAGGACAAGATGATAATGTTAAGCATTTGGTTATTTGCTCTAAAACTAATCTGTATGGTTCAGGGACACAGTGGTCACACTGTGACCCATCTGCTGACGGTATAGATGAAGAAAAATGAATACTACTTATCTTGGCCACCTACCAAGGACAAGAAACAATGTTTCTGTCACCCAGTCTGGTACTTTCTTCATCTTTTCAAGATGTGATTGAAAATAATGTGGTTATTTAAACTTGGCCTAACTGAAGTTCTAGGAACACCCCAACAAATGCATGAATGTATGTCCAGGCCTTACCTTTTGCATCTCCCTTTTATAACTATTTTCCTAAACATGCTTATGACTACACTAGAAAATTATTTATATATGTGCTTGTATGTACTTGTTAGTTATCCATGTATTCTTAATCATAACTTACATTCCATGTAAACGTGACTTTTATTATTCCACTGAGCAGCCAGCCTACAGAATTTTCTGACATACTCTAGGAAATACATAAAATATGTTAAAACTTCTTAAATTCAGCTGCCTCTAGCTGTCTCTAAAACTTCTTAAATTCAGCTGCTTTTCAAACAATATATATTAACAGTATGAAGAGCAATGGGTAAGTCCCTATA